ACAGTTTCCTTCGTACATTCGGTTTAACAACATTGTTAAAACACATTTATCATTCAATGGAACTGTGCGTATGCTTCAGACACTAAAATTTTTTGCTCCGTCCATGCAATAAATGCGCAGCCTTCGACTGCTCAGGTAATGACGTTGACTCGCCGGTATGACCGAGAGAGCCATTGTTGCAGGCGGGAAATAGTGCAGCGCGTGAAGGAGAGATGCGAGGGTTCGAACACTGTTCAGGTCTCCATTAATTTGTGCTTATAGTAATTTAATGTGTATATATTTTGAAAGCATTGAATCGCTATAGAAATTGCGATTCATTCGATTCTTAGCATTTTAAATAGATTACTGTCTGAAATCGACAATTCACGATTCAAAAATCCATGTTTCAAGATCGATGCATTGCATCGTCAGGGTTTGTAATCGATGCATCGAGAAAACGAGTGAATCGTTACACCCCTAATACCGAGATATCTAGACTAATTCTTGAGTCCCGTTTTTGAAGTGTCACCATTGGCATATAATGCAGCAAGTATTGCTAAAGTCGACAGATTTTACTAATTGACCTACCATTCTCTGTGTAAAAATAAAATAATGGTGCTGTTGTCTTTATAAAGCCTTTTTTATTCTGTCATTAATTACTCACCCTCATGTCGTTCCAAACCCATAAGACTAGCGTTCATCTTCAGAACACAAATTAAGATATTTTGGATGAAATCCCAGAGCTTTCTGACCCTCCATAGACAGCAATGAAACAGAAAAGTCCCCAGACCCAGAAACGTAGTAAGGACATTGGTAAAATAGTCCATGTGACATCAGCGGTTCAACCGTAATTTTACGAAGCTACAAGAATACTTTTTGTGCCCAAATAAAACAGAGATAACGACTTTATTGAACAATTCGTCTCCTCCTCGTCCCTTCCTCCACCATTATCGAGAGTACCACGACACATGTGCATTGCATGCCTCTGCTCTTAAACAAGGCACAGCGCATGCGTTGTGGTACTCTTGATAATGGTGGAGGACTGTCTTACGGGGTTTAGGCCATAAGGTGAAGCCGTTTTTCATTTAATCCCGTTCCCGTACATGGGGCACTAAATTCTTTTCATTCCAATAAAAAGATCTATTTGTTTTGAACGATAAAAAAGTTCTCCATGTGTAATCCTGCAGTTTATTTTTTTATTAGTTTAAAATCGGCAATAGTTCTTTCCTCGTGTAATCGTATTTTGATCGTGAGTGATGAGGCTTCGCGTCACGTGCTTCCCGCTAGACCAATAAGGTGGCCGCTTTTCGGAACGACATGTAAACATGAGTCCAAGATGTCTGCGCCCTTGTCTTCACTACCGAGTAGTGAAGAAGAGGAACTTACGGCCAGACCTCCTTCAAAACTATGTAAAATTTATTATAAACAACGCTATAAGCATCTCACGTCCATAAACAAAGAAAAAACAAAGGATTTTACATGCACACGGTGGATACATTCAGAAACGGCGTCAACCAGTGGCTTGGATTGCAGGATGAGAATCAGAAAATAGGAGAAACATACAAACATTGGGCTTCATTCATGAAACATTCGTAAATATAGGAGTAAATTCTGAGTAATTTGCGCGTAAAACGGACCTTCCAGAAAACTCTCCCACCTGATGTGTCCAAACACCGCCAGCGTCCCTTTAATATCCCGTTTGTGCTTCATTGTATGCCAGCTCCTGCTGGCTTTGGGGATTTATCAAAGGGGTCATAAGCCATGGTGTCAGGGGATAACCACTGTCACCTAAGCATGAGGGGGGGAGGGAAAAATTTAAATAGGCCAACAGTTAAAGGGGTCATATGATGCGATTTCAATTTTTCCTTTCTCTTTGGAGTGTTACAAGCTCTTGGTGCATAAAGAAGATCTGTAAAGTTGCAAA